CTATCAATCAATAGAGAGATCGTATAAAGTAATAAAACCAAATCATAGAGAAAGATTATCAAAATTATATCATGGTAGTAAAATCATATAGTAGTGTACACATACTATCCAATTATTCTAATATGTCACGTAGTAGTAATAATAACAGCCCAATGGCAGGAGCAAGAAAATAACATAGTAATAATAAATTTGTGCTGTAATAGAAAAAATACCTCAATAACATGCATGCATTTTATTAGTCATACTAAACAAGTAAGAAGTCATAGCTATAACGATATTTTTTAGTATTGTATCAATATTAGTAAACATTTGGCTTAATAAATAGAGTCCTTACTCTTTGCCTATTGGCATAGTAACCATCTCCTTATAACTCCCAATCAGTGTATCACATAAATTAGTAGACGATAGCACTGAACTACAGTATTTAAAAGAAAGCTCATCAGCCCATCATCATGTACAGGTTAATCAGTCTCTAATCAACAGGCCAATTAATATTTACTTGTCTTTTATATAGATTATTATCATAACACTGTAACAATAATATTAATCACATATACACATTCATTTTTAATGTATTGCATTAAATAAAGCATAATTGAGCTTAATTCAAAATGTGCAAATGTCATAATAGTTGGCAATAAAAAATTCTACTAAACAAAAATTCACATTTTCAAAATTTACCAACTTAGCAGAGAATATGTAAAATATCATTCTAAAGCTTTAATTAAGCTAATGCACTACTTTTAGATGTCAAAATATATATGTCAAAATAAGTTTATATGTAGGAAAAAGTTGTTGCTTTTAAAAAATAACCTAGCAAAAAAATCTCAAATAAATACTCAAAATATTTATAATCTCAAGCTTTATAACAAATTAATAGTTACACAGTGAAAGTTTTATTAATACAAAATAATTCTCATTTTTGGATAACGAAAACCCAAATTTGACGGAAACAAGATCAAAAATACAAAATTTTTGAAATCAGAAATTGGGTAACGGTTCTTTATTACAACGATACGAGTAAATTTTCTAGCATGCGTAACTGACAAAAATCGCTATGTGACAAAATATAATTTTTCTATTTCTCTCTCCTCTCTTTCTCTCTTAAATTCTCTATTACACCTCTCTGTTAACGGATTTAGAGAAAATGAGAAGAAAAATAAAGTAATGAACAAGATATTTTAATATAATAATATAATTTAATTAATTTTTAGTATAAAATTTTTATAAATTATTTGGGACTTCAAAAATTATAAAAAAATATCCAAAAAATAAATTTGTATATTTAGAAAATTCTGATGAAATTGATTTACAAAACAGACACTTTACAGTCCCAAAATTTCACTTACACTAAAGGATGTCAATTTCTTAAGAATTCTTATCAGTACCCAAAAATTATGAAAAAATCATGTAATTAAAACACTATAATATCAATGATGTGGTGAAGACGATTTGTAATTTTGACTTATACTAACTCATGAAAAAAAATTATTTGGTAGAGGCAAAATATATGCTTTTATAACAACGGTGCCAGAAAATGACATTGCTGCGATTGAGTCTCTATTCTATACTAATTTTAGTTTAGACATGCAGCGTTACGGTGCTAAGTCTGAGCATTGCAGTGCTAGGTGACTAATAATATTTTTTATATCTTTTTTTTATTATGAAACTAAACATTAAAGTATTCCAATGTCGACACCTTCATTTCGGCTATGACTTGCTTTGGAATTAAGGAAATGAAGAACGGAGAGGATGAGGAGAGAGTAAGTCAAATTTTTATCATTTTCATCAATCACTTCTACTATAAAAAGTGTTCTGATTGTTGTAAGTAAATATCATCTTACTTATGTTTTTGATTATTTTTAATTTTATAGATGTATATCTTTTAAATCTGTCAAAAATGCATTATCTCCTAATTTCATTAAACTTTCACCATATAACTCTTAATATATTATAGATTTGATTATTCTAAATCATATGATATAATTTATTATATTTTCACCATTTAAACATCTAAGATATATTTTTGGATAAAATGAGTAGGCAAAAAGGCAAACTAGAAATGGATTAAAAAGTATTATACTATGATTTGACATGATAAGATTGTAAGAAAATATGTATTGAAATGATTAGTATGATTGACTTATGCAAGAATGTAATATTGTTACTAGTCTGAATCTAATATGATGTACGAATATGATATACTAATATATGATATGATAACCTCATATTAGAGTTGTCAACATTTAACACGACCCAAAAACTCGACCTGAACCTGAACCAAAAATTATGGGTTAAGATCAACCCGTTTGTCATACGAGTTAGGTTCAGCTTCAACAAAACCAACCCTTTTCAAAAATCGGGTCAAGTTCAGTTGACATGAAAACCCAAAAATGGCCCACTTGCTACCCGGATCCGCCCTCCCAATGCACGGTCTCGACCTTATCCCACTCCACACTCACGATCTGGATGGCCCAGATTCATCTCCGCGCTTGCAATCTATACCCTAGGTGATTAGGTTGTAACTCGCTAGCTCCCTCGCTCGGCCGCGACAACATCGAACCTTCACCCGCCCTCGCATCCTCACACTATATCTGATCTAGCGCCAGCGCCTGGCCCATTTGTGTGATGTGCTCACAACCGCACCCTTCATGCTATCGAGTGGCGTCCGTGCCCGATATTCTAGATTCTCGAGTCGGGTGGGGTCGGGTCAACCTAGTAACCCAGTGGGTCAGGTCCGGGTCTAAATTTCTGACCCTTCTACAAAATTGATTTGACACCCCTACCTTGTGTGATATCCTCGAGATCTACATGGTCCACTGGTGTGAGTTAGTGGATGAGAATCATAAGGAGTTGGAGATTTATTAAGAGTTATAAGAGGTGTGGATGACTATCATGTGATTCAATAGGAGTTATAAGGTGTTCATTGATTGGGAGTCATAAGTGTATGATTAAGATCGATATACCCTCTTTTGAATATCTGAATATTGTATTGATACTGATTATTATTATTGATTACTCCTTACTATTACTAATATTGAAGCTTACACTATACTGATATTGACTTTTATTACTCATTAGTGACTATTGTTATTGTGATTGATATTGTTATTGATACTATAACTAACACTATACTATTTACTGATATTGAGACTAATAATATAATAGATTAAGATATGATGTGTTATAAACTAAGTAATTGGTATAGATAACCAATATAGATATTGATGCATAGATTTTTTTTATATATAATTTACAGCATATTCTTTTTTTCTTCTTATTGCATTGATTTCAATTGTAATATTTGAGTTATTTGTTAAGCTTTATGCTCATTACGTGATTTTATATGATTTTACGCAAAGATAAGAAGCCTATGTATTGAAGCTTAATTGTAATGATGTTTTATTTTATTTTTTCAGTTCTTCTAGTTTATGTATATTCTTTTGTAGCATATAAAAGTTATTGTATATATTATTTTGACCACTAGTGACAAAATATAAATATGGACAAGTATAGTAATGTGAATTATGTTTTCCGCAGTTGTTGGTTTTCTTTAATACATTTAATCAGCTCTGGATTTTGAATAAAATGAGATAATATTGACTTTTAATGAAAATTGAAAAGATGAAAACAAAAGTGAAATAAATTCTTTTAATTTAGATCACGAAGTGTGACAACTACGTTCTCCTACAGCTACTAACTATCATTGCTTATCATTATTAACAATGTCAATACACACCATCTCCCAAAAGGGTGATGCATGCCATTAACACAAGCCTTGATACATACAACTTCATTGCCCATCATCACCTATATGGCTAATGCATGCCATCGACATAGTACCTGGCATCTACAAACTGTCACCTATTACCATCAATAACATCAATGCATATCATCTCTTATACATCCAATGAATGTCATCAATAATAATGCTAACATCTTTTAACCCAAAAGTAAAAAATCATAATTTTTTATCCATTTTTAATAACTTTAGATGGGAAAAAATGTGTCAGAATATCATGATTGAAATTATATCAGAATGAGTATAAAAATCATTTCATGTATTTTGATATTTGTGCAATACAAAATCTATACATATAACAAGATTTAATTAATATTTATACCATAGTTTTCTTAAAAAATAAGTAGATAATTTATTTTTATTCTAAAATACTCCATTTTAAATGTATGCTTATCTTAATAAAAATTATTAAATCAAAATTAAAAAAAAAAACTTTCAATTAACTCTATGATATGAAAGTAATTTTGAATTTCCTTTATTTTTTTTTCCTTTCCAAGCCAAGCTCCTCAACCAATCAAAGCCATAGAGACCCAACCATCACAAAATCTCAACAAGTCCTTAAAATATAGGCATATTGCCATCTCATCGATCTAATACTAATTGTGAAAAATATAAATTCAATAGGAAAACGACTAGAAAGTAGAAAATCCAAATAACACATAATAACAATCAAGTGATCACAAAGAAGGATGTGCTTTGTTTTGTTAAATAAAAAAAAAATGAATATAAAAACCTTATTTAATTAGTTTGATTCAATTGTTAAAATATAAGATAGTTTGATTCAATTATTAAAATTTAAGATTGATTATGAGTTATAATCTTAACTTCTATTGATTTTTTTATTATTTGTTCGATTTTTTGCTTTATAAAATTGATCAAATTAAAATCAAATTATATTAATTTATTTAAATATTAAAAATAATAATAATATGTAAATAAATAACATAATGATCAAAACCAAAATATGTAAAAAAATAACATAATGTTCAAAACCAACATAATTTATTTCACATGTCAAATTTATAAATTTTAATAAAGATTATTTAATATTCTTTTTAATATATATTATTCAAAATAAAAGATAATTAAATTCATTATTAAAATTAATTATATTTTGATTTATCCCAAGAATCAAATAAAAAGAGCAAAAAAAAAGGGACAAAAAGAAAGTTAAAATAAAAATTTAACTCCACAAAAGTTTCTCAAGAAAAGCTACCTTATCACAAACACAGGCTTGTCATGAAAAATTTAGTATTACAATTACTTTATTATTCGTTCCACAATGATTCAAACACAAAGAAAAGTTAAAAGAATCAGCACTCACCACATGCAAAAGCTTCAGAACTGGAAGTTCCTCCCCACTCAATCGAGTTTCTTTCAGCTACTGTTGAATCAAAAGAGCATCAATATTACGCTTTCCGTCAGGGCCTTTGCTATACCAAGATGAGACATAGTCACCGTATAGAACCTCACGGTACTTGAGTGGCGACTGCTCTGTGACGAGCTGAAGAGCAGGAGAGATCTTTTGAGTCTTTGCAGGATCGTAGAAGGTCGCAACGGAGATCCGAGCTTGATCAGCATTGACAATGGCGCGATGCAATGCGCTTCTATATATGCCATTCGTTAGAATCTGGAGACGATACAATAAAGTTGAAAGAGTAAAGCTTTCAGATCCCAAATTATATGTTAGGCCTTTAGAAAGAAGATTAAGGTTGTCAAAGAGCCCTAACTTAAGCAGTATATGATCACAAATTTGAGAAAGATAGCCAACCATCTTTAAATTTGGCGAGACTTTCTTACTGGTTCTTAAAACATATTTTTAATACAAAATTTAACTTTTTAGTATAAAAATTAAAACTTTTGTACTAGAAAGATGCTTCAAGAAATCATAAGAAAGTCATTCCAAACGAAGCCAGCTTTTTTACTGCTTTCTGAAACAACTTCCTAATACAAAAATATTTATATTAAAAAACTGTTTTATAACGTAGTACGAAAGCTGTCCCAAACAAAACCTAAGCATATATAAAATAAAATACCTCGGTTTGATCAGCCAAAATCACAATAATGGCATCAGATAAAGGTTTTGCTAGTACCCACTCTCCATCCTTCAATACCTCAAGACCTCCAACATCGTCTTGTATAAGAAGAGTTATGGCACCCATATCAGAATGGGATTGCAAACCAAGAGCAAGCTCTGGTTGTGGGCAGGGAGAATAATAGCTGATGGTTATATTCTGGTAAACTTCTCCAATTGCATCTTGAATATAAGAATGTGGCAGATTTAGGCTTTCAGAAATCATGCTTAGAAGTCTTTGAGCAAGAACTTTCATGCTGTCACTATATTCAAGGACAAGATCCCTGCGAACGGACAATCAGTTACATTATTATTATTATTGTTGTTGACAATAACCATCTAAATACTTGCTTTCCACAAAAATAAGCAGAGTTCTAATCTCGTAGTCACTATAATTTTAATGTAAGAAATAAAGAGGAGATAAAAGCCAAAACATTTAAATCTAACTACATGTTTACTTAAAGTATCGTTTGGGACAGCTTTTTTATCGCTTCTTAAAGCAGCTTTTTAATTAAAAAAGCTATTTTAAGAAGCGGTAAGAAAGTCAACCCAAACGATGCCTAAAGCTACAGGTTCTGAATGTAAAGAAAGAACAATTCAAGAAATAAGAAAAATACCTAAACATAATTTCTGAAGGGACTCTAGCTCAGGACTATATCAAGCGAATTAGGATTTACTATTACTAGGATTATGCAATATTGGAAGAGTTAAGAAGGATTTCATTAATATATGTTTCGTATCGAGAAACCAAATTTTGAGTATAGCTTTCAGTATGTATGGTATGAAGGAAATTAATCTGGCTCAAGGTTTCAATTTATAAAGACAACTAAAAGCCAAAAAGAATTTTGATGTAGGCATATATTTGTTGTCTTAAGAAGGATTAATTATTCTGTGAGGACGCCGAACGCCGTCCGGAGACCAACTAGAATGCGCCACGTTTTCCCTTTGCTCAGTACCACGGCTCGGCACCGCTGACGTAGTGCATTCTGATTGGTCTCCGGATAGCATTTTACGTCCAGCCACTGCACAGAATAATTTCTTCTTCAGAAGACGAAAATATGCAGATACAAGTAAATTACCTTAGAATCTTAACTATTGGAAAGGATGTGGAGTTTTTGCCGTTTAGGTTAAGGTTTGCTGAAACTAGATGTTATCCGGCGAGGAAATGATTAACATCTATCATAAGCCAAATTACTTATTAGAAAATATAAAATTCAGCTTTCATCACCATGGGATCAATAGAAATCAGGTTTAAATTTTCATTCTAAAAAAACAACATTATTTCATAAAAAAGTATTATCTAGTTCATTAGGATAAGTAGAAACACTTCAGGAAGTAAGTTCTAGAATGTTTTTAGATTTGAAAACAATAGTAAGGACATCCACACAGTTTTAAAAGTTGGAAAATAATAAAATAAGAGAAAGTGTTAAGAGGAAGAAAATTGAGAAAGTGATACAACCAGGAAATATGATATTTGACAAAATCTTCACACATTTTGGACATATCCATGATTGGTACCAAATTTGGAGAAAGCTTTCCTTTTAGCATTTAAAGAACCAACCTACACACATATCCATTAAAGCCTTGAAATAGTAGCACGGCATTATTGACCATGAACAGTATTAGCGAGGGCAATTACTTTTTATGTTGTTGAATGGCTTCGCTGGATACAATAAAATACTCAAACATTCCCATCATAAATAAGTTGACTAGTAGATAATTATAACTAGTTTGCAAATAATTATAGTTAATTACTAACTATAGCTGATATTTATGAAATATGATGATAGATCAATTAATTTTAGTTAATTAGTAATTACATGTGATTTTGATTTATTGCTTTGATCAAATGGATCAATCTAATTAGGAGAACTTACCAATCAGATACATGAAGTATACAATTGAAAGGAATGAGAACTTAATCCATAGGGTAAACATTATTTAGGTTCTCAAGGTTTAGGGGTTACTTCATCCCGAGTTTTTTTCATTTTAAAATAATTATTTTTAACTTCCACCACTTATGCATGTCATCGCAAGATCTCAGCCCTTGAATATGTCATTGCAAGATTTCAGCATGGCCACTCACACAAGTTCAACGTTCATATAGGTTCTTGAAGACTAATGCTGTTAAAAGTATACTGTTATGTCATGAACAAGAATTCAGGGTGTGTGGGGGAGAGAGAGAGAGAGAGAGAGAGAGAGAGAGAGAAAGAGAGAGAGAGAGAGAGAGAGAGAGAGAGAGAGAGAAAGAGAGAGAGAGAGAGAGAGAATAATTTTATTATCATCATTTTACACCACTCATCCACAATTTTGATTAGTTAAAACCTCAAGTTGCTCGTTATCCTTTATCAATCCCCAATGTATAACATACACACGTATAACTTATTCACATATTTGAAAAAAAAAAATCTCATGAATTGTTTCCTATGATCCTCGACAATCCTATTAGATAATTCAAAGAAGAGGGACAATCCTATTAGATAATTCAAAGAAGAGGGACACAGGGATTTGAATTTTTATCTATGGGTATGCTTGATTCTTCAATCTTAGTTTTGATACTAAGGATCTTTGTGAAAGACAATTATACAAGAGACCAGGTGAACCATTTTTTTTTTAAAATATGAATCTACAAGTAATGATCGATATACCTCAAGGATCTAAGTGCACCCTTCCACAATCCATATGTCATTTTAAATTTGATTAGAAGGAAATAAATAGAAACTTTTAATCATATAGGAGGAAGCTGACGTCACATTTTTAATACATCTAAGAATTGAAAATTATTATCATCATAAATGAAAATAGAGATTTCTGTTTTTATCATTGTATTAGTAAAATTGATTATGAGATTTTGGTAGTTTCTTTCCTAATTCTATACTATTTATATTCCTTCTGACTTGTATCAGAACTATTATTATTTGAATGTACTAGTTATTTGCATTTTATTAATAAATTAGCTTTTCAATTCATTTCAATTATTTACTGCAGTGTATATATGTCAAATTTTATCACTCGTATATGCTTGTTCCTATTTATAAATACAAAGCAGGTCTTTCTATTCTTTCATCGTGGTGCACCGACTTCTGGACCCGAGGTGCGATAGCTATTATGCAACTAGACTAGTTGTGTGGACTGTTCATTTACAAAGTCTGTTGGAACTGTATGGATTTAAAACTTTATAGTTTAATATGAATGGCATCTAGCAAACTTGCGTCTGCACTTTTCTTGTGTTTATCATTTTCTGAAGGACAAAGAAAACGATGCTCCACTATTTTGCAACCTCTTTGATCTCAACTAGTTTCATTATTTGACAAATTTCTTTAGAGAATAAGATCAATAATTAACTTTTAGATAAAGATATATGCACAAGAGCAATAGCAGGAATAATATCTGTTGCGTCCTGGAATATTCGCGGCAGTAGAGAAATATGAAGTTTAATGTCTTAGCATTGTATGAAGATCCAGCACATAAGCAGATTAGATAGAGGATGTAACATTCATAAGAAACACCAGAGTTTTTACGTGGAAAACCCCTGAAAAAGAAGAGGAAGAAGCTCCTCCTCGACCACCGCTGGACTTTCCTTGGACCACAACCGGAGTTTCGTCGGACCACTGCCGGAATTTCGTCGGACCACCGCCGAAGATTCGCGCGGACCACCACCTGAGGCCCTCACCTTCGCCGGACCACCACTTGAGGCCCTCACCTCCGCCGGACCACCGTCTAACGCCGTTGCTCTGTCGGACCACCACTTGAGGCCCGGACTTCTGCCGGACCACCACCTGAGGTCTAGACTTCTGTTGAACCATCACCTGAGGTCCGGACTTCTGTCAAGCCACCACATGATCCCTAGAGTTCTCCCAGAATATCGCCCTACTACTATGGTCCTTCCGACCACCATCAATCAATAGATAATGGTCTTTCTGACTCCGGTCTCCTGCCGACTACGATCCTTTCGACCCATCGTCTATTATGGTCCTTCCAACCTCCATCAATAGATAATGGTCTTTCTAACCCCGATCTCCTGCCAACTACGGTCTTTCGGACATCTGTCTCCTGCCGACTACGGTCATTCCGACCTCCATCGCCTACTATGGTCCTTCCGACCTCCATCAACAGACAATGGTATTTTTGACCCGATCTCCTGCCAACTACGGTCTTTCGGACATCTATCTCCTACCGACTACGGTCCTTCGGACCTCCGTCGCCTACTATGGTCCTTCCGACCTCCATCAACAGACAATGATCTTTCTGACCCCGATCTATTCCGACTACGATCCTTTCGACTTCCATCGCCTATTATGGTCCTTCCGACCTCCATCAACAGACAATGGTCTTTCTGACCCCGGTCTCCTGCCAACTATGGCCTTTCGGATCTTTGTCTCCTGCCGACTACGATCCTTCCAACCTCCATCGCCTACTATGGTCCTTCCATCCTCCATCAACAGACTATGGTCTTTCTGACCCCAGTCTCCTGTCAACTACGGTCTTTCGGACCCCGGTCTCCTGTCAACTACGGTCTTTCGGACCTCTGTCTCCTGCCGACTACGGTCCTTCATACCTCTGTCGACTACTATGGTCCTTCCGACCTCCATCAGCAGATAACGGTCTTTCTAGCCTCCATCCTATCAACTATGGTCATGCCGACCAAACAAACATGTCTATATTGTAACTCCCACCATGTAATGCGCTCTATATGATGTACATTTGTAACATCAAGTTAAGGCCTTCTCCCTAAGAAGGGCCTCATTTGTAATCGACTGCAAATACTAGTGGATTCATTCAAACTGGGCCAGGCCCCGTGGTTTTTCCCCCTTTTCAGGGGTTTTCCATGTAAAAACTCTTGTGCCTCTTATGAATCCTCTATCTAATCTGCTTGTGTAATGGATCTTCGTACAATGCTAAGATATTAAACTTCATATTTCTCTACCGCCGCGAATATTCCAGGATGCAACAATATCAAGGCTTCTGCTAAAGAAGATCTTCTAAGCAATTACTAGACAATTTTTCATAAAATAATATGAGTAAATGTTCCGAAATGAATGACCAGGTTAGGAAAGTTTCTTAAGCTTGTTTTCCTTCATACCACTAACAAAGTTTTTCAGCCAAACCCTTAAATATATTATTTACATGATCTCAGCCACTGTTATTTATCCATAGAAAGCTATTGTAAAATTTTTTTTTTTGCCACAGCCTGAAAGAGATTATTCAGATGATAATCTCCCACTATTCTTCATCCGTTGAAAACTTCTGCTACTAAAAAAACTATGGAAATACATCCAAGCCATTTTCTACAGGACAATATCCGCACTGAAAATGTTTTCAGCTCTTAAACTCCTTTGTTATTCACATGAACTCAATTAAATTTTTGCCTTCCAAAGATCATCTCCAACCAAACGCCAAACGAGTGTTTGGGGTCGTTCCGTCGCTCCAGCTGAACGCCAAAACGTCTGCCATTTGCTTGCGGGTGAACAGTGCAACGCGAATATTGGCGTTGCACTGTTCACCCACGCTATTTTCCTCTCTCAACCGGAAAAACGCTCCAAAGGAGAAGGATCGTTACCTTCGCGCAGAAGCAAAAAAATGGCGTTCGATTGGAGCAGCACCACGCCATTTTTTGCGTTTTGTGGTATTTTAGCGTGAAAAATGGAGTTCTCGGTTGGAGATGCCCTAAACCTACTTCAAGGTATTTATTTAACAGTGCAACACGTTTATTCTTATTATTTTGACAGTTCTAAATGAAAATAATCACGCAATTCAATCATACATGAGTTGAAATTAGATTTTACTTGAACGATACTACTTCAAAGTTCGAAATAGAAATTCATAAACATAACTAAGTCTCTGGATTAAGGAAGGTGGAGCATAAACAAACTTTAATGATTGCAGGAGAAAAATAACAAAAAAATATGTCCTAGTGTACAGGAAATCAAGATTGATTCAATGAGCTTGAAGGATTGAGTTTCTTTTCATAGCATCCACAATGTAGCGTGCTAAAAGAGTGAATATTGAATAACCCCTTCTAAGAAGAAAGTGCCAAATTACACAAACCTGTAATTTTCTGGAAAATCCGGCCACCTGCTAGGGTCCCTCCGAGACTCCGGCAAGGTATGATGATCGAAATAGTCCCTCCAGTCTAGCACCCCTTCCTCCTTGGACAGCATCCGGCTTCCGTACCCCTCCGTTGCTGCGGATCCGGGATCGCACGCGTATCGCAGCTTGGCCTCCGTGGGCGAGCGAAAGAAGCCAAGTCCGGCCTCCTTTATTTTCTCCAGTACACGCGACGGCACGCCATGGTTCACCACATGGAAGGCTCCCCATTCACTGCAGAGGCGACGGAGGTGAGGTATAGGATTCAGAGAGGTATCAAGGTCGAGAACAGGGATGCTACCGGATTCCGCATCCGCGCGGCAATGGCGATCCGGTCGGAGCTCCGGAGGCTGGATGTATTGGGAGGGCACAAAGGAGAGGCCTGCCTCTGCCAGTTCCTGTACACGCTGTACCACCATCGAACAAACGAGAGCGACAAGTTGTTTCTCGCTTCTCCGATCACCGCCGAGGGCGACGAAAAGAACCCGCAAAGGTCAACTCTGAACAGAAACTCTGAAGGAGCGAACACTGAGAGCAGTGGAAACTTGCGCCTGCACTGTTGCCGCTGTATAAGAATATTATTTTATATTTCTTATTTAATTTTTTTAAAAAAATTACATACAGACCATTTTATTTCATGTTATTTATATATCTAATATTTAAAATATTAATATTACATGTCTACCACTGTTAATAGGAGATGTTTCACAAAACCAACTGTGTATTGCTGATATATGCCACTATTATATACATCTGATGTGTATTGCTTTACAATTTAGATAATATAATATTGTATTATTAAATAAAGTACACTGTGTACCACTATGTACTAATCATATTGATCTAGATGTAAGAAATAAGATAACAAATACATAATTATTTAATATTACTTGTTGAAGAATTGTTCATTTTGATGATGTGTACGGTTGTGTATCGTTGTTGTGTACCACTAGTGGGATGTTGAAGGCTTGCATTAGTATCTTCATATTTTATGGCAACTTTGAGGATATTTGATAAGTTAACAATTAGAATGCTTGTTTAAATTCATAGATTAAAAAGGTGATTACATGTTTTTTTTTTCTTATGAAGAATAACAAGAAAAAAAACTTATGAAAAATACAATTAAGCTAAAAGATTTCTTAAATTAGAAACCTCACAATCGTGATGACCACTAATTATGGTCATACTTATTTTTGGTTAATGCTTAATTCTACCAAGCAATATACATAGCATTACACAGGTGTACAAAGCAATACACAACAGTGGTACACAATGGTACACAGCGGTACACTGCAATATACGTCATCAAAATGAAAAAAAAAATCACATAAACAAAAGAGAAAATGTCATAATAATTACATCTGATTGAATAAATTAACGTACACAATGACACACAACAGTACATCGCAACGATATACATCAACAATACACAACAAATACACATTAAAAAAACCCTTTTATCACATAGTTTTTGTAATGCATATCTACGAAAAAGTTGAAAAAACTTTAAAATGAACAATAATATCATTGAAAATTTTATTTAGTTGATTTACAGAAGCAAGTGTTCTATTGCACTTTTACAATAGCAAATTATGGAATACAAATGACTTAAAAACTTTAAAAACAATCATAACTTTAAAATTACTCTTACAATAAAAATTTGTTCCGGTGGCGCTACCCCTTGACCCTGCGACCTAATCGAGCAAGTCGAACCCCGCCAAGGGGCGCTGCCCACTTGGACACTCGGCATATTCCCTAAATGTACAGAAAAAAAAAAACTATCATTCATCGTTTATTCGAAACCAGTCTTCATCTTCATCAACTTTTCCACCTCCAGACCATTCTTCATCTTCATCTTCACTGACTTCTTATCGTTTCTTCTTTCTCCGATGCTATGAAAAAATTATTGAGCTAAAATCCTAAAAATATTAAACTTTCATTGTATTTTATTTGAAAAACGAGCTCCAATCTTAAACCCTAATATTTGAGCTGACAATTTATGGGTCGACTCAGTCGGGCTGGCAAGAAGAAAAAAAAAATGAAATAGAAATAAATATCCACGTATATACTACAGATGTCGCGATTTTATTGGAGTTCGGACATAGAATAATTTCTCCTTGAATGGGGGTTCAACCAATCTGGTTCCAGTAACTCAAATTAGGCTCGTTTAATAATTTAACAAGTAACAAATATGGAACATGAATTTAATCGACTAGCAACTCAAATTTAAATGATCTAAATCTGACCCAATAACTCGTATTGATTTAAAAAAAATAAACTTTTAAACAATAAGGAAAAATAATTTAAATCGATCATTTTAGGTTATAATCGGGTTGACGGGTTAACCCAAACCAATCCATTTAATAAACAAGTCAGAATTATGGTCCTGAATCCGACCCATTTATTACAAGGGTCAACTCGAATCTAGATGTTTTCTTGTCAGGTTTGAGTCGGGTCATTCTTTTACACCCCAAGCCTTGAAGATGTTTTAGATTTTTTAAAGGGGGATTTACATACATCCCACTTTATATCATACTCAGCGGTGGAACCCCTTTGTGGCTAAGGGTGGAAATTGCCCCCAAAGACTTTTTTTGGGATAGCTAATATGTAATTTGCACCAATAACATAGGCTTTTTTTCAATTAAATAAATTCAAAACTGTCATAATAATATACTCATAGAATATACTACTAATCACAATCTTGAATGATTTAGCTCAACTAAATAATGAAATTTCTAGTACAAAATTTTTAAATTTAAAAAAAATTTATAAAAAAAAATAGCTCTAAAAAGTAATAAGAAAGTTATTCCAAACAAAACCTAAGACTTCATTTGGGACAGTTTTGACCACTGCTTTTTGTTACTTTCAAATTTTTTTTGTACTAAAAAATTACTGTCTAAAGTAATAAAAATATTGTTCCAAATAAAGCCTAGGTTCCATTAGTCTTGGTGCAAACCTAAATACAAATTTAAAATCAAATCAAAATGCTACACACTTTGAATGGGACTAAATGGCTATCATCTATAAATCTTACAATCAATATTATTTACTTTACACTAGATTTTAATTGCACTTATTACACCATTTAAAAAAAAAAACATAATTCTAATAAAAAATAATTGTATTTTTATTTAATTGATTGAAAGTATAACATAATAAAGATAAAAGATAACTAAGTATAAAATTCATCAAATCACGATTCCACATAAAGAAATAATTGATAATTGAATAAAAAAAGATAACATATTATATTCAAACTTAAGACCTCTATTTAGGAATCAAAGAGCATTACATTTGAACTAGAGCTCTTGAGTTGGCTTTGATTTAGTTTTATATTTATTCTTGGCATGCAAACCATTCACATCTATTGTCTATCATAAAAATTATTTAAAAAATATATCATTGTATCTTTTTATCCTTTTCTTCTAATTGATTATGAATAAATTTATAAAAGATTTAAATATAAAATACATTTTCAAATCGATAAGAAATATGAAAAAGGGAAATTAATGGCATATTTTTTATAACAAGTCTTGGACAACAACAAATGAAAATAAATTATTTAAAAAATAAATAAATGTGGGCTCTAAAAATTTGCACCATAGCCTCTTTGCATGTGCAAATTATTGCATCCGATCACCAGACGCGGAGATAGGTCCGGATATTAATAAAATATTATTTTAAATTAAACGCAGGTAAAGCGCAACTAAAAGCGCAGGTAAAGCACAACTAAAGCGCAAGTCAAAAGCGCAGTCAAATGCGCAGGTGACGCGGCAAATTTTTATTGGATATCTGAACTTATTTTCCACGTCCGGTGACCGGATGCAATAATTTGCCCTTTGCAGGAGAGTTTTAATGGATGTGTCAATCATTTTTTTTATGAGACAAATTAGATTTAAGATAAAGCAGTACTTAGAGATTTCACCCTCATTTCATAAAAAAAAATTTATGATATGAGTCCTGGTGTCTCATAGGTGTAAACTTTAATTACATCTCTTGATAATGAGGAAATACTTTTGATTATGTCTAATTATTCTATAGGCAATATGTATTAAATATATCATAGTAGCAAATTTACCCTTCATTTGAGATGGCTCTCTAATTGCTTCTTAAAGGGTCTTTTTAGTGCAAAAATTAAAATTTTTATACTAAAAAGCTGCTTTAAGAAGTAGCAATAAAGTCATCCCAAATAAAACCTTAGTATTATATTTTAAACACCTTGCAATTAAAGCGTATGGTAGGAAGAATGATGATGAATATAATCAAATCCTATGATTCTTTCATCTTAGGTTGTTATAGTCCCTAATCTTTTTCCTCAAAAGAGGTATTTGAGTTAATCTACATATCCTTGTTGGGGGGCTAGGAGCTTATTTTGTCTAAGTGCACCATGTAAATTTAGGATGGATGTTTGTATAAATGGATAAATTTAAGTCAACCATAACTGACAAAGGACTTTGTACCGTATCAAAAATCTCGATAATTCATTACTCAAGAATTTATATTTATTAAGGAACTTGCAAGCTATGGATGTGATCGCTATTCAATGATGTATTTTCAAGACAAAATCACCCAGTAAGAGGACCTCGATTATAATAATTAACTTGTAAAAACAGGAAGAAAACTATCTCAAAGTAATTTAAATTAATTAAATTTCTTTATAAGAATTTAATTATAAATAAAATTTTTAGCATAATATTCCCAGAAATGAAATTTTGAATATGTTTCTTCAAATTCAAACACTATGAGACAATCAAATTTGGCAAAAGAAAAAGTCCTACCTTTACATTTCATCATCCAACAACAGTCACTAACAAACAGAACAAATCAAAAGTGGACTAAAGAACACAAAAGCAGCACAACCATCCGAATCACTTCCCACTTAAAAGCACCAAACAGAAGATAGCTTTTCTAAAGGAACATCACTCATATTTCTTTTCATAGTTCACATGAAAACGCTTTGTGCAGGCTTTCCATTGGCTTAGCCTACTCTACACACAAAACCAAAAAAAGTCTACTAACACCTTTAGGCTTCGTTTGGGACGGCTATCTTTCTGCTTCTTAAAGTAATTTTTTTAGTATAAAAATTAAAATTTTTGTACTGAAAAGCTGCTTTAAGAAGCAATAAGAAAAACGTCTCAAACGAAGCCTTAAACTATAAAAGCAAAACAATTAAGAACACCCTTCCTCAACAAAAAGAAGAGAGGGATCATGGAGCAAAAGGTAGAGGAGAAAAAGAAAAGCTTTCTATGGAAAACAGTTGGGGCACCAGTGGGCAAATTCCATCAGCTCCCCTCCCAGGTTAGGGCCTCAGCCCAATCACTGAAGTAAAATATTACTCATGGGAATAGACCCCCACCAAAAGAAACAAAAACTTCAATTTGCTACATTATATGGATCAGAAAAGCACCTGGCTTGCCCAAGCCAACAAGGCCAAAAACACCTGTGATTCTCCCCAATTTGGTCATTAATGACAATCATTCCTTGGCTGCCTTGGCATCAGCTGGCTTTGTAACAACTGCAATGGTTTCAGGTTTGGGCTGTGGAGATCATGAAAGAAAACAGGTTTGATGGAAATTTAATGGGTGATCTTGATTCATACTGTAGAAATATAAGGATTGTGGATTTGAGTTTACCATTACAGTGATTGTAGGTTTGATCTTCTTGTCTTGCATTGCTTTTTGTCTGCTTTCATAGAAGCCGAAGTCGTCCAATATGGAAGTCTCCACACAAAAGTTTTTAAAGATGTTCAGCATCTCGGTGCCTTGGGGAAATTTAACCTGAAACAATGCACTTTCACATGAGAACAGAGGCTTAAGGCCATGAGTTTATAAGGAGTTGGCCATAAGAATACAAAAGCTGCAATCAATACAACAATACCAACAAGTCTTCATCCCAAAATATATGGGATTGGCTATCTGAATCATTTTTCTCCATTGTCTTACTGAGGCTCAAATTTGCATTTAAATCTAATAAAAAAGTTTATTTTTAATACTTTACGACTAAGACTTCGTTTGGGAGGACTTTCTTACTGTTTCTTAAAACAAATTTTTAGTATAAAAATTAAATTTTTGTACTAAAAAATTATTTTAAAAAACAATAAAAAAGACGTCCCAAATGCAGCCTAAATCTTTTTAGGTCTACCTCTAACTTTCTTAGAAGAGGCCATCAATAATAAACTTATTTCGAAGTGATTAACTAGAGAATATCAGTTAACATGTTTGTAGTTATCAACACCAAAACAATTTTTGCTGAACAAATGCAGTTTTTCTTTCGAGGAAAAATACTTCCCCGCAAAATTCAGAACTTAATAATGCTATATTTCTATGCCATTCATCCACTAAGAGACGCCATATGTTCAACTTATATCAATATTAATAAGAATGAATTTTGGCCATGCTCTACCAAAAACAGAAATATAACAAGTGCTATAAATAAACCTCAGAATAATTTGAGAAAACTAAATTGTGCCCTGTAAAACGTTCAAAAGGAAAATGTATTATGAGCGAACTCAGGTGATGAGTCAATCAAATCCCTAATATTTCGGCCTATAGTTTCTTAACATCACAATAAAAACACAAAAAGAGTTCAATATTGATGACAACATAAAATTTGCACATGAGATAAAACATGATTCCTGTCCCAATGGAACAACAGTTTCAATTATAAGATAAGAAATAGATGAATAACAAATTAAGAGATGAGATAAATGGAGAAAAGGACTTAGGATAACAATCTTGAATTCCAATGGAAAAAGAAGAAATGAAAAATAGTCCCAAAGCCAACACAATGTTAAAAGGCAAAAGTGAAATCAGTTGAGGCTTTGTTTGGGACGGCTTTTTCACCGCTTCTTAAAGCAACTTTTTAGTACAACAATTTTAATTTTTTACTAAAAAACTGTTTTAAGAAACCGTAAAAAAGATGTCCCAAACGAAGTCTGAATCTTGCAATTCCAGGGCATCAAAATAAAAGCATACCTCCTGTGTATCTCGGCTGTTAGTCACAGGTTTGTTGTCGTTGTTCTCTAGAATTATATGACGGAATTGTGGATTTGGAATGTCTTTGATTATATGCCATTTGACTGGGAAGTAACCGTTCCACTTGTCTTGTTGCCAAAAGTCCATGCTCTTGTTAAAATCAACCTGACCAATCATCTCTGCAACACCACAGAATTGACCACTTGCATTCACCTGACCACAAAGAATCATACTAGTAAACTAACAGTATTTTATACAAGTAAAGTGGATCTTTTAAGTGCAAAAGACATATTTATGCTAAAACAAATCCGTATTTAGTAAAAAACTAAGTCTAAGGACCAATCAAGTAGTGTAAATAATACTAGTGAACAGCTAAGTATCATATAGCAACATTATAAGGGAAACCAAACTCCAAACCTTAATCACAAATAGTATCACATAAGATAACAAGGTGGAAAATTTTTTTAATCAATGTATAAGTTTAAACAAAGTTCAACTTCAAAAAAAAAAAAAATCTGAGCAATATAAAATTTCTAATTAGCAATTGCAAGCATTCTCAGACAAGAGTACACGTCCACAAGTTTATTGCAGGCAAATCAAAATCAAGCATAAATATGATTTGTTCAAATTTTCTATAAAATTTCATTTGCTTCAACTAGCTACTGGCACTTACAGAAAAGAAGAGCAAGATCGGGCACTTGCATCCTTTCTCTGCCGCTTTCGCCTGGGCAACTTGATATGCATTATCAAGTCTCTTGTTTCCGTTTGGTGTGCTTGCCCAAACATTATACTTAATGCTCTTGTGAATATCATCCTCACTATATGATTTTATAACAAAAAAGAAAGCGTGATCATACTTAGTTGGAAAATCTGGGAGATTGTAGTCTTCCTTCTTTATAGAGACCACCGCGGTGCTGTTGCTGTTACTAACCACAGAACCAGTAGTCGAATCATAATCAGACACCCAAGCTCCTTGGTTACCAATGGTTCTGGGACCACGGTTCTGTTCATTTGGCATATCAAAATAGCCAGCCACCTGAGCCTGGTTTGTTGATATCTGCCTTTCAGCCCCAGTCCATGCTTTACCAGTTGTCTTCGCATTGCCATTCATGATTAGCAAACCATTTTTGCCTGGGCTAGGATATGAATTAAACTTGCTTGTCTGAATGAAATCTTTAGAGACATCATTATTCACCTAAATCACAACTCAGGAATTATTATCTGGTTTGCAGTGGCAGTACTAATGGAAGAAAAACAAATGAGCTGCAATAATATGTATGTACCTTTTTTATCGACTTATGAGCCTGGTTTGGCGAAGTAGAATTCTGTGTTGCATCCAATGCAGTAGCTGCTCCTTGCTTGGTTAAAGTAGCTGAGATTGGGGGAACTGAAGCTTTAGGAGTTATTGCATGATTATGAGAAGGATAATTAGGTTTTGGGTAAGTTGTTGTTGGATCTCTAACAGTTAGTAAAGGTTGAGAATCCCATAAGTATGCTGGGACAAGTTCTGGTCCATAAGCGACTGACTGAGGAATAAAACCTGAAGAAATAAGAGGCTGATGAAATATAGGGCTCGGTTGATAGAGATGTTGAGTGAAATATTGCCCATCAACACCAACCACTGGAGAGACTGGACTATAAGGAGAATATCCAGCCTGATAGCCCGGAAAATAGTATGCCAGTGATTCATTCTCTGATTGAGTGGTCTGAAACAACACATGTAAACTAGTGAGGTCCTTGCAACTTAATCAATAGGTACTAGAAGAATTCCCTTATATGCTCGCATGAGACATGAGATTGCAAACAAAACTACTACTAATAGCACTCATTATGAATCAGTATAACAATAAAATGCAGGAGGGCAATCGCTAATCTAATAAAAAAATGCAAGTTTTAACTTCTGAAAACCTGAATTAAAATCAATTAAGCGCTCATTTGGTCGCTTGAAATTAGAAGTCATGTTTTGAAAAAAGATGAAATTTGTTAATCCATTTGGATGTAATTAGACATTAATATTGATTTCAAAGTCTTCAAACCTTCTCAAAACTTCCTCAAAAGTGGTGATTTCAATTTCACACTCAAAATGTGTGAAATCAAAACCATCATTTTTCTCTAAATCATATTCTCTATATTTACAAACAACCAAATGAGCAATAAGTGGAAATATTAAGAAAATTTGAGTTCCATGCCATATTCCAATGCATCAATAAATGCATGTTTTTTTTGTTTTTTTGGGATGTTAGGGGATTTGAGCGCGGGATGAGAGGGGAGGAAGAGCTTCCGTCGACCATCTGGCCGCTTACCCGATCTCAAATGCATGTTTAATTAGATTAGAAACCATAGAGTTTTAGGGTAAAAGAATATAAAGAAATAAAAAAAATGATCTTGAAACAACTGGCCCATTAAAACCATTATTTTAAGTGACATACAGAAAGTTGGACATCCAATCCATCAGTTCCAACATAGTACCCGTAATCGCTCCAATCACCCATCGAGCCATCAAAACCTGAGATCAATCAGAAACCACGAGCAAAGAAAGCATATTAAATTCTTAGGAAAATGTCAAACTAATAAAAAACCTCCTCTATATAATAACAGAAAAATCATATGTTTACATTAATTGATAGCAAAAGAAAAAGACGCAGCTCCAACAGTCCAACAGACCTGGATAATAGTAGCCATAGACTCCATTCACAGGATAATACATAAATTGCTCTGCCATGAGAGCCTCTTGATCCACCTCACTCCCTCTGATGCTGCTGGTTGCATCCCCAGATGAGATGCTCGACATTGCATCTAATGAGCTCCCATCTTTTGTTCCATACTATAGCAAACACAGGCACAATAATCAAACAGAGATGAATCAAATTTACTATAAATATCCATTTGTTTCGCAATGGCTTAGCATAATCACGCAGCAGCACCAACTCTCTAATGCATGAAAAAGGTGAAGGAACAGGTTCAACTTACCATATTGCCCTCACCCCCTTTAGAAGTCACTCCTATTTTCAATTCTTTCATAGATTTTTCTAATGCTGCGCCAAAGAAGAAAATGAAAGCAGTCAATAATAGGAGAGGTAGAGAGATAATCACCGTTCATGTGGAAAATGGAAACCAGGTCCAAATACTAAAATTTATTGAAAAAACTCATCACAAAGTTGTTTCCTTGGATACAAATCAAAAGCAGATCTACAAGGACAAGAAAAAAACCAAGTTCAAAATCCGTGATAGCACCATAATAGAGCAAACCAATTTGGATTCCAAGAGTTCCAGAGTGAAATAACTACACGAAGTTATAAAAGCAATCGACAAAACCAGATCACTTAAAATTGGACTGAATCAAAGAAAAGCTGATATTCTTTATGCAGATTAAATCAAGGTAGACAATCCAAAACTATCAAATAAAATACGGGATTATACATACAGATCTACGGAGTTCGTAGCATGAAGTACGCCAAAGAATACAAATACAAGATAAATAAACCACATCTAAATCAAAAATCTAAATCTTTCTATAAGAACCTCTGAAACAAGGACAAAACTGAGAAGAAGAGGATGATCAAGGAAAATAAAACTAGCGATCAAAAAACATATACTATCCTGTTTTCAAAATCCATTCAAATTGAAGATTAAGAAAAATCAATAAATATACAAGGCCTCACAATTACAGTAAATCCCATCAGAATCGATAAGCAAATAAACTACTGACAAATAAATCCACTCTACCAACCTTAAATTTTCAAAAGAACGAAAATTCCAAATACCCCATCAAAAATTCGCCGACACACGATTTCTCAAAGTAGAAAACCAGAATATACACCTGCTACCCTACAAAGACACAATCGAATTCAGAAAGCAACCACACACATATTGCTTTCGAACAAAAACTTGAGTTCAAAGAGGCAAAAAGAACAAGCAAGAACTAAGCTAATCCCGTTCGGTGATCACAGCCCAGGAAAAGGAACAAAACCATACCCTTCTTCGACTTGCCCTCCGACGCCATGAGTTTGCACCAGAGCTCCCCGCAAAAGAACCCTAAGACCTCTCAGCACTCCAGTTCAGAAGGCCGATACCGATACTGATACGTACACGGTGGGCAAAATCGGATCGACCCCCGCTACCGACGATTGGACCGGGGGTGGCAGAGGATGCTGAAGCAGCGGTGGTGGCGGGTGGAAGTAAAGATAGGCCTCAGCTAAAAGTAGTAGAGATTGGGACGAAGGAACTAAACCAACGGCTGCTACTGCGACACGTCAGAACTGGTCAATCGATCCCACGCGAGCAACTTAGCCCAGCTGCTGTTTGCTGTTCGTCCGATATTCACGAGATTCTGTCGCCGTGGAGGCCAAAAACTGGAACGGCGTTATCCGTGGTCTTAAATAATCAGCAAATAAACAACAAATAATCAAATACTTAAAAAATACCCATTAAAAAATCACAAAATTACCTCAATAAATAATTTCTCACCAGGAGAAATTATTAGATTTATTATATATATATATATATATATTATTTCTAAATAATAAATTTGAGGATTAAATTTCCTATTTTAATAAATTTAAATTTTAATCTATATTAAATTGTAAAAGGTATTTTAAATTATATGAAAATTAGTCTGAACCTTCTTATTATCACCCATCAACACGACAAATGATTTTATCCAACTTGAAATGAATCCAAATCAAACACTTCGAAGCATTTTTAGCTCCTTCTAAATCTTAATTGAACTAAATTATCTTTAAATTTTATATGTTTATAATTAAATTGAGTGACTAGAAAAATGAGCCTAAAATCATTTAGTTCTATATATGATTTAAGGGATCAATTAGGATCGTGCGAATGTGTGTTTTTGATTTATTACAAATTTATGAAAATCTCTTTTGAAGAAGATTGTAAATATGGTATCATATTTTACATGAGAGGGGTCGAGAGATGAGAGAGCTCACGATCGATGACAACCATCAATAATCACTGCCACCCTTATCGTGTTTTCATTATCCGATTATTATCATTTGTTAAGTTCTAAAAATCATATTCATAATTACTTTCTTCCCTATAAATTTTGTTGGTTATAAACAACCATTGAAAAATTGAAAGCAACTGAATATGGATCATCCCTCGTCATGGTTAGGGATGTCAATTCAAGTTTTGTGAGTTGGCTATAATTTTGATTCGAAAATGATCTGATATGAACACCATCCATCGAAACACGATCAATTTATTAAACGGGTTAAAAATCTCAATCAAATAGAACTCGATCAAACCCTAATTAGATCTAGCGTGACATGAAACACATTTAAGTTATAACAGGTTAGTATCACTCCGATTCAAAATGAACATGATTATATGAATTTGATGCAACCAAAAAAATATAAAAAAATTAATTTTTCTAGTTGAATTTTAGGCTTTTTTTTGGACGGTTTTTTTAGTGATTCTTAAAGTAACTTCTAATACAAAAAATTTTGTGTTAAAAAATTGTTTCAAGAAGCAGGAAGAAAGCCGTCCCAAATGAAGCCTTAAACTAATCTGACTTTTTGGAAAAATTATTCTATGCGGATGTCGAACGTCATCTGAAGACCAACCAAAATGAGCCACGCCACGCATGTGCTCAGAATCGCAACTCAGTACAACTCAGTACCACTAATATGACACATTCTAATTAGTTTGTGGATGACGTTCTGTGTCTGATTTCCGTACAAAATAATTTTTAGCCACAAATTAATCTGAATTTGACTTTAATCTTACCTAACGGCGGAGCAACTTAAGAAAGAGTGTTCTCGGGATTACTCGAAACGGGAAGGGTTTAATACTTTAATGTATTGTGGGCATGTATGGATGTGAAGCGCAAGCCAAAAAAGAATGGTATACAAATCGGGATCCAGTCACCGACTGCGTCGGCTTACCGAGTGCTGATTCACTTCACGCCTAGAGTAGATGATTGGTTCAGATATCTGCCTATCTGGACACCACTTGAAGGTTGGAATCTATTTAGTTAACGTGGAGCTTTGCTGAGTTACCACGTGTCAGTTGGAGGATGGAGAAGAAATTATCAAAATTGTTCTAGAGTTGAAGTGGTGGTCAAGGAATGAAATGTAATTATAAAAAAATTAGCCTTAATTTTGAGGCTTACAACAATATTAGTAAAGGTTGGAAGAAAACTGAGTGTACTTATTGGCTTCTCTGAGAACTCGTATTAAGTAGGCGATCAAATTCATGTTAGTGAAAAAATAAAGCTTAATAGTCAGTCCCAATAAGTACTATACATAAAAAGTCACAATTGGCGGCTACTCAATGAAGGACTTTCTTTGAAAGATAAACTATTGATCAGCTACTTAGCTCTTTGACTGTCACGTTGATTACTAACAATCAGATCTTCTAATCAGGCTACACAACTAATATATTTTGTCTTATTTTTTGTGCAACTATGTATATAATCATTTGTGTATTGCTCATGCCTCAACCTCAATCTATAAATACGGGGTTGTGAAGTGAGCTAAGTTTATACAAATTTACTCAACTAGTCTATGAAAACTCAATTCTCTATATCAAGCCCATTTTGTTGTAATTTTATAGCTTTTTACTCTACAATTCTTCTTTTTCCTGCTCTCTCTTTACTTTCTTTCTTTACTTTTTTGTTCTTCTTTCACTCATTATTGTTATATAGATAGGTGTGATATACAAATAATTTTGGATTCAACATCCTAAAAGGTACAATGAGTATAAAGAATGCCATTAACTATAAGAGGATTACCATGTTAAATAGAATAAAATTCAAGCGGATGAGAGTAATTTGTCAATATAAAGAATTAGGAGTATGTTACTATTCGTCAACTCGTTGAATTCAAGGAGAGGATGACTCAAATCATTCAAGGAATACTTGAGAAAATTCTGAGAACTGCTCCCAAAGTAGAATTTCTTAAAGGGTTCTCTAATTATGTTGTGAAGAAGAGAATAGATGGAGTCAAAGCCTTGACTTCTACTTTAGTTACTGATGAAATTTTCCATGTAGATAGTGAGGGGTCTTCTTATATTCTTCATCATTAAGAAAGAGAGTTGAGAGAAGAGGAGGTTGCCACTTTTCAGTACCTTTCAAAAGGAGATTGTTGAGGTTAAGACAATATCAAAATTCAAATCTCTCATCTAAATTCATACAAATAATGGATCTTGCCAACCACATCATTAACTTTGAATCAGTTGCCTCTTTCAAGGATATTAACAATGCATTAAAGTGTAGTTATTCTTCACTAACTTAAGGGAATCACCCATGAGGTGGCCCTCACATCTAGAAATTAGTATTTTTACCAGTTTAAAAGAATATTCATCATGTAATTAACCAACATATGAAGGTCTTTAAAGAACTCTCAAGCCCTAATATGAATAAGGCAAGAACCGAGTGAATCACTGAGGGGTTTCATTACTCATTTTCAAAAGATGATGCTTGATATGAAGGATTAAGAGTTGAATATCACCCGAGTGGCACTTACCCAATGTCTAAAGGACAGACCTTTTTAATATACACTAGGCCTGTAGTCGTCAAGTGCATTTGCTTAATTACTTGAACTCACAAGCAATTATATAAATGTTGAAAAATATAATATAGAGATGAATTCCCTTACTATGACAAGTAAAAAAGGAAAGAAATCATATAGGAGGGAAATTTTGGTAACTTCTAGGGGACTATATATGACACCTCAAAATTTAAATTGAAAGAATTATTTATTTATCTTTTAAATAAACAACAACCCCCAAAGCTACCTAATATCATCTGTCAATAATGAATAGCATGAGCAAATTCAATAATTTAAAATATTAATATATATATTTATATTCAATCCCAAAAATTATATGCACTACTCAGGATCTATACAATCATATCATAACTATTTTTTCATGAGTATAAAAATATAAGTATAATAAAAAGAACCAAAACCTGAAGAATTCTGATCAGCCTCACACTCCTGCTCCCATGCTGCAATGTCCCAAAATCTAAATTTGGGAGAATTATCTTTTAATCTTTTCCTCTAAAATTCCCTTAACAGATCTCTATTGCCAAATTGATAAAGGATAACACTTTAAAATGAGTAAGTGACTTAGGATATTTAATTAAAATAATATTTAATATTATATAATTTATTTAATTAATTTTTTTCAAGTAGAAAATTTAAATAAATCATTTTAGAATTTTAAAAAATTATAGAAAAATATCCATAAATTAAATCATAATATTTTAAAAATATTGATGAAATCAATTTATAAAATTGAACACCTGAAGGCCCCAAAATCCTCACTTGTATCGATAGATAACAATTCCTTCAAGTTTTTCACCGGTGTGTAAAAATTATGAAAAATTTGTGTAAGTAAAATACTACGATCAAAATACTATGATGAAGATGGATTGCGATTTGGAGTTATAATGACTCTAAAAAAGTTGAGAAAGTTAAAATACAATATTATAATCTACCCACCTTAAGAAAATATCGTCCTTAACATTTTTCTTAAGGATTTGAGCACAAAATCGATATACACTAAATAAGTCTAATTAAAACTCAACTCAAATCAAATTAACCTAAAAACTCATAAAAATCATACAATAATGTAGTTCATTCAATCACATGTCATTCAATTATGTATGCAAATTAATGCACTTTAAATTACTTATCCTATTCAACTCTCAATCTAATCTTATAGCTATGATAATAATCAATTCTTTCAATAACTATGATTTGATACCAATTGTAATGTCCCAAAATTTAAATTTGGAAGAATTATTCTTTTAATCTTTTCCTCTCTAATTCTTTTAATAGATCTCTGTTGTTGAATTGATAAGGGATAAAGCTTTAAAATGAGTTACTGACTTAGGATATTTAATTAAAATAATAATTTAATGTTATATAATTTATTTATTTAATTTTTAATAGAAAATTTAAGTAAATTATTTTTGAATTTTAAAAAATTATAAAAAAATATCCATAAATTAAATCATAATATTTAAAAAATATCGATAAAATCAATTTGCAAAATAAACACCTAAAGATCCTGAAATTCTCACTTATACCGATAGGTACCAATTCTTTAAGGATTTTCACCAGTGTCCAAAAATTATGTAAGTAAAATACTACAATCAAAATATTATAGTAAAGATGAATTGCAATTTGAAGTTACAATGACTCTAGAAAAATATTGGCAAAGTCA